TTAAACTATACTTTTAATTTAATTAAACTCAAACCATATAATTATGGATTTATTAATACTCTTTTAATTAAACACTTTAATCAATTTAATAAGGTCCATAAGGTGTAATTGAACTATTCAAAACATCTAGGTTATTAAAAATTTAGAATTAAACTATTTAATTAATTTATAAGTTATGAACCCAAGTGTTGCATCTTTTGAAACATTTCAATTACTAGATGTTTTAGAATTCAATATTTCATATTAAAACTTTTTAATTAAACTTTTCAAATTCCAAAACTTGACGGCAAGTTTTGGAACTCTTCAATTCTGTAACTTATGTGTTTAATGTTATTTTAATGGATGAGACTTTTCATGTTTTATAACTTGAGGACAAGTTATGGAACTCATTAAAACATTTAGATCAATTTAAACAAATAAAATTATCATATAATTCATGATTGATCTAACTAAACTCGTATAGCAAGATAATATCAAATCAACAATTTACAAGTAACTTTCTTTATCATATAACCAACAATTATCTTAAAACTTTGACAATTATCTTTTGATTGGATGAGTATAATCACTACCATATCAAAAAAAAAAAACAGATTTTATGATGCAAAACAGTTTGTGGTAGTGACCTAATCTAGTATAGGATAAAAAACCCGAAAATCTGCCATCTGCCAGTGCAACTCGTCGAGCTAGGCTTTGGACTCATCGAGTTCATCATGAAGTCGTCGAGTTCATCTATGGACTCGGCGAATTCAGTCTGGCAGAAAGCTATTTTTAGTTTTCTTCAACTTCAAACAATTATGAATGTAACTATATAACAGAAAACCAACCTGTCTCTGATACTACTGTTGGTTTTTGTGTACTATAACACTCCAATGGTGCACATACCACCCTAATAGTTTTGGATCTAAGTTTTCTCTAGTTATACATGCAAAAACAATTTCAAAGCATGAAACCTACAACTAGCATATAATTCTATATTTGAATCAATATAGTTAGGATAATACATATTTGTTGTAGCTTGATGTATTTAGCGTTTAAGAACTTGGTACCTCAAGTGTGATGCCTCAAATGGTCCATAAGCACCATGAACAAAGGAGGACTTTGAGAGAGAGAGAGAGAGAGGCTAGACACTCGAAATTAGTTATTATTCTCTTCCTACAAGACTTAGGGTAATCGATTTTGGCTAAGGGGTAACATATATATAGTGTAGGGATCCAAGAATCATGGGTAAACCCTAATCCATACACTTAGGTTATGATCCATATCTCGTGTGGGCTAACTCTTCATGGATACTTACATAAACTTAGTCCAACATGGATCAATAGCCCAAACAATATATATATATATATATATATATATATATATATATATATATATATCACTTATTTACATAATCAGTCCCTGTTAATTTATTTAGTCTCTTTTGATCAATAAAGTAATTCCAAATTAATTCTTGATCAATACTAACTAAATAATATGATTTCACAAATAATGTATCATAATTGTAATATATTAATAAATCATAAATAACCTCTTTCTCAAATATCCATCCTATCAGATTCTTCTTGTGAAGGCAACCCAAACGGACTATGCTACTCTCGGGTCAACTACATACCAATTATAGTTATGGTCTTAGACGCATAATCCAACAGGTTTCTCTTTGAAGTCGTGTGGGGCGACTATGCATATGTGACCTTTGACTCAGTAGCCGAGCAGGAGTTTGATGTTTCAGATAGTTGGCAGACAAGTTGGGACCAGGGATGTCTCGGCTACTTTTGGAAATCACCTACGGGCAGCAAGATGATTTGGAGTAGTTTAAGTGATTTAGGATTGGTGTGTGGAGTCAATTATTACTCTCTTTCTGTTTGGATTAAATAATATTAGACTAAGTCTATTGTGCAGCTCTCGTTTGAGTTTAACCGTTGCAGGGATAAATCTTCTACTCTAAGGAATATCTGATCTTTCTGTCAAGTATAAGTGTTCTGCAGCTGTTTATGGTCAGTGACTTTGTTCCCAATGGCAGCATCAAGATAATCAGGGTTGAAAGTGTTCTGTTTAGTTTGGTATTCAATGTGGAATTTTCATGGTAATGGTTCAGTGTGGGTTTATGGATTCGTCTTCATCGGGTCGAAGAGTTCTGCCAGGGTCGGGTTTGGTTGCTTTAGGAAGGTCGTTGTATGCTCAGGGTTTCAATTGCATTCCTCGGGTTGCTTGGTATGATCTGATTGTTAGCAATGATCGATTTCGATGAAGAAATCTAATTTAAGTGGGGGAGAATTGTAACACTCGCTTTCAGATTGCTTCATTATTCGGGGTTGTGGCCTACTCATTAGTTATCATGAGGTATAGGTCCTTGGGGAAGAAAGAATTTGTCCCTTTTTGGATGTGGGTGTGACAGTTTAAATGATCTGAGTGATCGGTGGTGTTTCGGGGCCCAATGGTATAATCGTAATTTGCTAGTTTGAAACTTTATGAATTTTTGGTTCTTGTTTGGGAAGTTTTATGGCAATTGTGAGTTGTTAGAAGCATAGAGATTCTCGTCACCTTTCCGTGGATATAAAGTTTGTTGGAAATGGACTTGGGATGAAGGAGTTAAGGCCGAATAAAGTTTAAGTGTTTTGGAGGGCCATTTAGTATGCAGGGCGTACTAGATGTGTACGCAGGTATACCAAGTAGATTAGTCGCGGGTGGTCTTAGAGTATGTCGAGTGTATCAAGGGGTATGCGGAGCGTACTTCCTTCAGCCATGAAACCCTACATTGTGACCCTTGAACTTATTTAAACCTCATTTCTTTCCTGAGCCTCATATTTTATCAACCTCTAGTCCTCCTAAACCCTAAAATCCGATCCATAGCCCTTATCTTGGAGCATTTAAGCCATTGTGAAGGATTTTGGAGTATTTTTCTGCACTTGGAAGAGCTTGGAGTTTCTTGAAAACTCACCACCTCGAAAAGAGCTTGTAGATACAGAATTTTTCCATCATTGGTCATCTCTTGAAGGTATAAGGTCTCTATCTTTCTCACTCTTTAGTTAGATCTTCTTTTTAGGTTTGTTTATAGTCCTTTTATCCTCCTTTGGTGGTTCTTGTGAGTTATGGTTGTTTCAGAGGTTTGATCTTTTGGATTTGGACATTTTAGGTGTCCTAAAGGTATAAAAATGTGATCTTTATGGTTTACTTAGACTCATGCATGTGTTAAGACCTTTCATTAAGCTCTTTTGAGCTCTAGAGTGGCTTTAAGCCATCTATGCAAGTAAAGCTGCCAACTTTACGTGATAAGTAATCTATGGGAATCAGATATGAGAATTTAGAGCAAGGGCATAAGTGATTAACTACTTTTTGGAATGGTTGGATTTTAGAGAAGTACAATGGGCGTACCAATCTAGGACGTTGTACGTACTAACCCCAAAGGGTGTACGCAGGGCGTACCGACTGAGTACGTGGGGCATACTCGGCCAGGTTGGATTTTCTTGAATTGTTGACATTTTGGACATTAGACCATTGACAAGGAGTTAAATAGGGTTGACCATTCATTAATTCATGCCTATTTGGATATTGGGTCTTCTCGGGATTGCTCGATGATGCATTTGGGCCTAATTTGGATATTTGGGCCTTATTCGGCCTTGTGGTGTCATTTCGGGTTTGGGCTATCATTTAGGCTTGTATTGCTTGTGGTTTTGTTGGACCAGATGAGATTATGTGTTTTGGATTAGGAAAACATTTTTGGTCTTTAGGGTAAGGTCCATGTAAGGGTTGGTCCCAATTTTCAAAATTGGGCCATAAGTGGGCTTTGGATGACTTTTCGTTTGTGGGCCTTTATGATGGGGAGTTTGGGCCTTAGTCTTGGACCAAAATAGGTGAGGGATAAAATGGTCTTTTTACCCCATGTATGGATTATTGGATTTGGTTTTGAACACAATTGTTAATTCGATTTTATATATTTGATAGCGCGGGGATTCTAGCGGATCAGCGGTCAGAGATTTATTTGTGGGTTCAGTTGTACTATGGGTCGAAGGCACCAATGTCGGGCCATTTGATTCATGTAGTTTATGAAGACCAGGGGTGGCCCTTGGCATTTGGTATGAAAGACCAAGAGGCAGCTCCTTGCAATCTGTATGCAAGACCATAGTCGGAACTCTGGTAGTTAATTAGTTAAGTAGTTGTAGATTGTATGTTAGTTGTCTTTGTGATGGTTGCATGGAAGACTAAGAGGTGGCTCCTAGCACTTGCCTATAAGACCCAAGTTTTTGTCCCCCGGCCTGGCAAGGAAGACCATGATACGACTTGTTGCACAATGGAAAGACTATGGTTGGCACATAAAACTTTCTATTGATTGTTGGATATGCATGTTATGTGTGGCTCATATGATATGTATGCTATGGGGTATTGGGGAAATCACTAAGATTTGTACTTACAGTTTGTGTCTTATGGTTTTGGGTACTTTCGGTTCGAAAGGGAAGGGCCCTGCTTGATCGCAGCGCATACACCTGTATTTTTCCGCAATTTGGGATTTTGGGATTTTACTCTATCAATTGTTTTACTCTGGAATACTTTTAAGAGCAAATGTCATATTAGCCCATCAAACTTTTCGCGTTTGTTTTAAAAGGTCACTAAACTATTTTTTTGCACATTAAACTAATAAACTCTCATTTCCATGTTTTAAAATACCCTTTTCTTACCTGCAATCGGATTCAAAGGTAATATACATGCCAGGAAGGATTTGACTGGGGTAAATGTCATATTAACCCAACGAACTTTTCATGTTTGTCTGATTTAGTCACCAAAGTTATTTTTCTGCGCAATAGGTCACACACTGAATGGATTCAATCACACCCCCAAATCCCACACAAAAGAGCCAGAGATAAAGAGTCAACCGACATTTGCTTTCAATCATGGCTTTGGATCTCACCTCTAACTCATTTCTCTCCTTGCCACTACACCTCACACCAGTCAAGCTTCACTCAAAAACCTTAGGAGATTAATCGTAAGTGCAAAGAAATCTGATGTATCTTCTGCCGGAGAAGGTGAAACCGAGAATCGATTTCAGTTCAATTTCGACTTCGAGAAGGTTTCTGAAACCGGCCTCTTGCCCCATTGGTAGCTCAACTCCCGATTCGGCCTTTCCTGAAGATGGACCCATCGAACTCCCCTTCTCTATACCTTCATTTATCTCCACCGACAATGACCCTACCACTCTCCAAGTCGCCACCAATGTTCTCCTCACTAGCACCGGCACCATCTCCATCTTCCTTTTTCTCTCCCTCCGTCGTCGTGCAAAGTGTGCCAAAGAACTGGTTCATGTTCTCTCTCTCTATCTCTCTCTTTATATATATATATATATATATATATATATATATATATATATATATATATATATATCACAGGGGTTTGATTTGTGTAATCCATAATTACGATTCGCAACTGAACCTATTGTAGTTATATGTGAGTATTAGCAATGATTGAGTTGAGAATTTTGTTTATGGACTAGAATTTAGGTCTAAGAGAACAGAAACTAAAAAGATGTTGAAGGAGGAGGCACTTGAGAGTTTGAAAGCAATGACGCAGGTTGAGGCAAATACTCCTCTGTTACCTCTTCAGTCATTTCTAGGAGGTTTGTTTGTTGGAATTATTGCAATTATCCTATATAAATTCACCACCACCATTGAAGCTTCTATGAATCATCAAACCATTTATGATAAAATCATCCCTACTTAATTTTTAATTCCAAATTCAAATGAGAGTCAAACCCAAATGTGTGTGATTAGAGGAAAGAACGAAGAATGTAATTAGATGTGTATAGAGGAAAGCAAAGAAGGAGATAATGAATTTGATGTGACGTATATCGGAGTAAAATGGCAAGTTAAACTGGGCAACCTATAAAATCAGGTAAAATGGTGTAATTAACAGGTTACCAACAAGTTTAATGACCTATTGCGCAGAAAAATAACTTTGGTGACTAAATCGGACAAACGTGAGTAGTTCGTTGGGTTAATATGACATTTACCCTACTTTTAAATGTTTGAATAAAGGTAAATGAATGTTTAAATATAAATTAAAAATGAAATTATTACCTTATGATTTTTAGGATGTTACAAAATGATTTAAATTAGATTAAATCTATTATTTAATCAATTCAAATCTTGCTTTAGCTACAAGTTACCTAAACTACAAATAAGACTCGTTTACTTGCAAATTTAGTTTATGACATTACCCATAAGCATATTAACGAAATTTCCCTCACAACTCTAATCTCCTCTTCATTGTAGGGTTTCTGGATTTGGATGTGAGCCATTAGAGGCATCATCCTTTTGGTGTTAGGCTTTTGAAGACCAACAAACACAAAGGATTAAGTGATTTGTTTACTACAACAAATCAAAGGTATTTAAGCCTAAATTTGTATTTTGATTATACTAGGGTTTCATTAGGGTTCATGTTAGTTTTTTTGTTCATTCTAAGTTGCGTTCAAAGTGCTAAGACATAGATCCTTTAGGTTGCATGTGCCTTGAAGTGTTAAATGAAATTCCGCAAATACATAGTTTTGTAACCTATAAAACCCATCAGTGGTATTAGATCATTGGTGTGTCTAACATTATTTGTACATGATATTAGTCGAACAAAACAAAATATTTGAAAATTTGTTCTCATGATGTGATAGTGTCTTTGTCATGACGTTAGTTCAACACAAATTGGAAATTCAGGATTTTCTGCCTAATTTGATTTGTGCGGTTAATTTTTGGTAATTATCTGATTTGAATATTTCCAAAATCTTATTTTTTGCATGTCTTAGATAATTAAAATAAAATTTGATTTGTTCTCATGATGGGTCCACATGTACGCCTTCCTCGCTAACCACGTGACCAAGGAAAGTTACTTTTCTTATCCAGAATTCGTACTTTGAAAACTTCACATATAGTTTCTCCGACCTTGGTGTTTATAACACTAGCCTTAAGTGTTGTCTATGATCTTCCTCATTCCGATAGTAGACAAGTATATAATCAATGAACACAATGACGAACTTGTGTAGGAAAGGGCAGCACACCCGATTCATCAAACTCGTAATAACCATACCGAGTCTGAAATGTTGTCTTCGGAACATCACCCTCATGAACTTGTAGTTGATGGTACCCTGATCTCAGGTCTAGCTTTGAGAAATATCTGACTCCTTGGAGTTGATCGAAGAGGTCGTCGATTCTGGTTAGGGGATAACGGTTCTTGATGGTAAGCTTGTTTAGTTCACGATAATCTATGCACATCTGAAAGGATCCATCCTTCTTCTTCACAAACAAGACCAGGGCTCCCCAAGGTGAGGAACTTAGTATGATGAATCCCTTGCTGAGTAGTTCATTGATCTGGCTAGATAACTCTTGCATTTCTGCCGGCGCTAGACGGTATGGGGATTTAGCTACATGCATAGCTCCGGGAATTAAGTCGATTCGGAATGCGACTTGGCGCTCGGGAAGATTCCGGGAAGCTCTTTGGGAAAGAAATCAAGAAAGTTGCAGACTTCGGGGATGCTCTTGAGGTCTTTAACTTTCTGCTTTTCATTAACAACATGGGCTAGGAACGCATGGCACTCATTTAGCAGATATTTATGGGCTTTGATGCATGAAATGATACAGAGGTTTGAGCTGATTTAATCACCATAAATACTGAGGGCTTCACCAGAAGGAAGATTGAGGCGAATAGCTTTTTCATAACAAAGGATATCAGCACGATTGGGGCTCAACCAATCCATGTCAATGATGACATCGAAGCTTTTTATGGAAACTGGCATAAGGTCAATTGGAAAGGAATGGTCGTTTAGGGTAAGGGTGCAACCGATGAATATGTCGTTAGTGCTCCCTTTCTTTCCGTCTCACCGGTGAATGTTTTGGTTAAAGGTTGGGGTTTATGCTGGAGTAGATGCTTAAATGCATGACTAACAAAACTTATCTCGGTACTAGAATCGAAAACAATGCATGCATAAGAGTTGTCAACGAGGAACGTAACCATAATAATGGTGGGATTAGCAATTGCTTCCTCCTGGCCCATAGCTAGCACTCTCCCTATGTTGCTAGTTGTTGTCGCCTTCGGGCAATTCCGCTTGAAATGACCGATCTCTCCACAATCATAACAGGCTTGACCAACGCCGCTCTAGGAGCCTGATTGGTTGGTTGGGCTGGTGTCTTGCAAACTCGAGTTGTGTGCCCCTTCTTGCCACAGCTGTTGCACAACATTTCACGACATGGCGTGCAATGATGATAATTTCACTTGTCGCACCGAGGAAGGGCACCAACATATCTACTCGTTGGTGCTTGAGCTGCAAGGACAGTGGTGGGAGTGGTGACAACATGAACTGCCACTACTTGCTGTTTTTTGGAGGGCTCTTGCGAAGGCTGGCCCTTACGCTTATTCCAAAACTTTTTCTTCCCACCACTCGCCTTGTATGGTTCTGGAACGGCTGCCACTACATCAATATCAACCCCGTGATCTATGAGAGTTTGTGCTAAACACTTGGCGTTGTCGAATGTGAGAGGTTTAGCAGCCAAAACATTTCCTTGAGTTGGCGGCGTCAATCCCTAAATGTACCTCTTTATCTTTTTACTTTCCGGGGTGACCATTCCCACACAAAGAAGAGCCAATCACAGAATTTAGTTGTATAGGTGGCAATATCGAAACCTTTCATCTTCAGGTTCCAAAGCTCGTGCTCCAACTTCTACATTACATCTCTTTGACAGTACTCACAAGCATAAGTTCCTTTAAACTCTTCCAACCCATGGCATTGGCTACATGCAAAGTTAGGGATTTGAACCTGATATTCCATCAAGTCAGGGCTCTATCGGTGAAGGTGCAAACAGCAGACTTCACCTTGTTGGCCTCAGAACAAGCACAAATCTCTAAAATCGATTCAATCTTCTCGAACCACCGGGTCAGGGAAATGACTCCTCCATTGTCATCGAAGGATTTAGGCTTCGCATTCATGAAATCTTTGCAGGAACACTCCTTCTAGTGTCCATAGCCACCCTCAAGATTAAGGGGATGGGTACCACTTCCCGACTCACTAGAGCCGCCAAAATTTATCTGTGACATTGCGGCAGCCACATCGGTCGTGACTGCTGCTTGGAACATGGTCGGGTCGAACTGAGGAGGTGGTGGCATCGGATCCGTCGAGGGATTGTTGTTCTCTCTGTTGGGTCTTTTCTTCGGGGGCATCTTTTTCTAAAAGTAATCAAGAAGAAGAGGATGGTAGGTCCCCTATAATCAAGTGATATGAAATAGGGCATATCCCAACCTGATAGATAAAGTGTTATACTAAGCGATAAACAAAGAAAGGTTAACAATGCAAGTAAGCTATCACTAGGAAAAAATAAGTAGCAACACTTGGAATGAATCTCTACACTGTATTCGGTTCTAGCTAAAATACTCCTATAGTAGTTTAAGTTGTATGTGATGTTCTATCGATATCTTGATGTATATAGCTCAGTATGTTTTAGGCTTGCTGCAACACCACGGTCACTCCCAGACACATGTTGGTCATGTCTCAAATTAATATAGTTGATCAGGATATATTGATCCCAGACATGATTACATAATTATCCAGGTTTAACTGTAGTGTTTAACATCCAAATATTTTTGTTTTGTTCTACCTATAATACTGTTTCTGGTACGTATGTATAATTGTATACTTCTTATAATATACTTATATTTTAAAAAGTATACTTTTAGTGCAGAGAACTTCGGCCCCTTAGTGTTTATAGTTGTATACCATGTAAGGTTCGGTATACTTAGTTCATTATAAACAATAGCTCTAATACCAATCTGTCACACCCCCAAACCGAAACGACGGAAACATTCGGGGGTAGAGGATGTCATGTATAGTATCACAACAATTGTATCATAGTAATCAAAGTAAACACGACCATTACATTAAGATAGGAATGTTTACATCTGTTTGATACATAGTTTTTATACATCAAAAAAATAACAGAATAAGTAAAAGACATATCTCTATACAGGAGTACCTGATTACTGATTTCCTAAGAATACAAGCGATTTTTGAAAGAGTATCATCATAAAGCTGGTGAGTTCATAAGAATGTTTTTGTAGTGAAAACTAGTCATTGAATTCTGTAAAAATGTTTGTATGCTTCCCAAGAAAACCCAATATTTTCTAACATATATGTATGTTACTGTGTTTTGTTTGAAAACCTTGATTACCACCATCATGTATAGTATGTTATGTTCAAAAACCCTGGTTACCACCAATACACATAGTAGTTTTATTATTTAAAATAAACTGGAGTATTGTATCCCTGGAATATTCCAGTGTAATGTATAGTAGTTCTATTAATTAAAACAAAACTAAGGAAGAATGAAATCCCATAAACAAAGGTTAGTGTATATTATTGTAAGTCTGTATAACTATGCTTGATATGACTGATGACCTCAGCGACGTTCTTTAGGCGTCATACGGTCTGATACTTGTCACCACATGCATGCCTAACTATAGCTAGCTATTTAGGTGTGGGATTGTCAGTCCCGAATAGATCTATTCACAAATCTCCCGCTCTCCCTCCAGGAGACTCTGGTTACACTAAATGTTGAGGATTTTACCAGTACCCCGAAAGGTACAATTGAAGAGCTGTCTCACAATCCTGTATTAATTAGTTTACGTGTAGTTCTACATTGTTTTCTCGTAATTGAAACTGTTTGTATACTTGGTATAGTATAATAATTATACTTAAATAATTATTTGGTGTTATACTCTTGTTATCCGAACGTGCTAATGAATATCATAAACTAAAGTTGTCATAGTTTATATGTTTGCTCATGTATATAGTCTAAATCGATAAAAACTATGTAATAAATTCCCCAAACTATACCCGTTATAGTTTGCTTGAAATGTTATGTACATGGTCTATGAATTGTTTTGAAAACGATGCAATTATGTTTTCAAGTTGAAAGTGTCCCTTATGCTCAGCATAGTACAAAAAGGATAAAATATTTAAATATTTTATAAAAGGTTGGAATCGTTTACCTGTATCAATTGCATAAGTTTTAAACTTGTTGAAATCCTTTTGTGTTTGGCTTGTATTCCCCCCCCCCCCCCCCCCCCCCCCCCAAAAAAAAAAAAAAAAAAACATTAAAAATCATAAAAGCTCCTAATAACAATTAAATACATATATGTATCTAAATTAGCGATTTCGTTAGATAAAAGTGTTATAAAAATACTTGCTTTCGGTTAAGGAATGTTACCGGGACTTGATTGAATCGGGGAAAACGGGTTTTCAGTCTAATATATATATATATATATATATATATATATATATATATATATATATATATATATATATATATATATATATATAACTAAATGATTTTCCAAACCAAAGGAATTTGACGAAACTCAATAAAATTCAAATTTTATTAACGGAAATTGGCTAACGGTAACGAAAAAAGGTTCGTATTGTCACAGAAATGATCATATTCTAGAAACAGATATAAAAGAAGCCAATATTTTCTTTTGTACAACCCTTTTTCTGCAAGCCATGAAGAAGATATCCAAACCAAACTATGTTGAATAGACCTCCAACATTATGTGTTTGAAGAAGTAAAAAGGTTATTTTTAACAAAAATATGGTAAATTTAATAAAAGTAGTCAACATTGCATTCTTTTTCACTAATTTAGAAGCTTTGATGTAGATAGGGTACGATCATTCTTCGATCAATCAATCTAAAAAATCAAAGAATGATACGGTTGAAATAAATGAAGATTTAAGGAGATTGAATATCGATTACATGAGAAGATTAAGGAATGTTGATCACATATGAGCGATAATCTTGGTAGAAGAATCGAAGTAGATGAAGATGTTTTTGAAGATGACGTGAAAATGACGCTAATTGTGTATCAGATTGGTGGTGTTGTTATATTTAGATTAGTGACTAATCTACCCATAATTAACTAATCAGTTAGATTAATTAGTTTTAATTTGTTTCTTTTATAAGCCACAAGATTAAATTTGATGAAAGGTTAAGATTTGGTCCTCATATCTTATAAAATATAGGTGGTCTCAAATGAAATATATATATATATATATATATATATATATATATATATATATATATATATATATATATATATATATATATCAAATAAACTCTAATATAAACATTAATCAATCTTTGAAAAGTTTATAGATAGTGAAAATTTGATTTATTTCACATCTTTTTTATTGGATTAAAATATCCATAACGCCATCTTAATAGTTATTTTAAAGATTCATTATATCTTTTATCAATTAACTTATAGCATTATGCCTCAATAGTTCCTTGAGCTTGCTACGTACCCTTCACAAATAATAACATGAGTTCTAAATCTTATATACATAACATGAATTAGGAGTAGCATGGTTTTTAAGTGATTGAGTGTTGTTTGGTGAAATTGATAAATAAACCTACTAAATATGATTTAAGAAGGAAAACTGACATTATAACACAACGAAATTTTATGTTTGTCCTAAATAGATCATTCATGTTAATTTTTTTTTTTTTTTTTTTTTTTCACAATACGTCATTAAACTACCAATTTATCTATCACAAAAGCCATTTTTACTTCCAATTTATCTATCACAAAAACCATTTTTAGAAGGAAGAAGCCAGTCTCCACCACTTCTGATTTGGGTTCTGGTATTAACGCCAACCCCTTTACTCTTAAAAAAAATAAATTATATATATATATATATATATATATATATATATATATATATATATATATATATATATATATATATAAGTGTTCAGTATGGTAGTTAGACCAATAGGGAAACATAATAAATAGTGAGTATATTAAAGTTATATGTCCACCTCATATATGCCAGTAGGGGTGCAAACAAGCCGAGCCGAGCTCGAACCTTGTCAGGCTCGACTCGGGCTCCTTTAAGTTATACGAGGCTTGAGCTCGACTCGATTTGAGCTTTCTTGTACTGAGCTCGACTCGAGCTCGTAAATAATTATACAAGCTCGGCTCGGGCTCGAGCTCGATTTGTTTGTTGTTCGACGTGTCTAAATAAGCTTAAGTTAGGCTCGAGCTCGTTAAAAAACTCGTTTATTAATACCATAAATTCCTAATTCCCCAAATAAAAATTTATTTTAATATATAAAAATAATAATAAATTATATTATATAAAAGCTCGTTTAGACTCGCAAGCCTAATCGAGCTAAGTGACATAGGCTCGAGCTCGTTTCATAAACGAGCTTAATATTAAGCTCAAGTTCGGCTCGGGCTTGTTTAAAATCGGTTTCGAATTGACCTTTTAACGAGCCGATCTCGAGTACCTCACGAGTACCTTGGCTCATTTTCACCCCTACACATAAGTAAAAGACTAACTAGGAAACCGATAGTTTTTTTAGGTCGAACACCTATTTAACAGGTGAAATGGAAGTTTAATGACTCATAAACTTTGATAACCAATTCGGAAAAAAAACATGAACTTGGTTGTGCTACAGTGTCAATTTCCCATTTAAGAGACCCCTCAACCGTCTCCTTAAGGTTCCACAACCTGCAAAAAAAAAAAAAAAAAAAAGTACACACTTAACACATAATAAGGGAACACAACATAAATTGCTTCTTCTTTTAAAAGTTGGTTTCTTTTAAGGGGTAATTTTCAAACAAAGTGGTAGATCTACAAAAATTTAACCAAAAAAGGGACTCAAGGTTAGAAAAAGTTTTTTCATATATTTGGTGATAGTCAAAATAAAATCTCTCTACTTGCCCTAACAACTCAATTTTCAATTTGCCTCAATAATCATACTAAAGTATATGATTCATGCTACACAAATGAAACACCACCTAAATCTCCTGATTAATTTCAAATCTTAATTTTAAGGCTTGGGGCAGATGAAATTTCATCTGAATGTGCATGTTTAATTGATTAGATATAAAGAAAAGTTAAAGAACTTTATAAAATATTCAATTCCAAAGACTTTTAATATGCAACCTAATTGATTTGTCTTTTCAAGAAGAAAAACAATGGAAGAAAATAACTGATTAAGATATAGAACATTGCTTACGTGAGTTGAGGTTCAGGGTATTCATCATACCCTTATGCTTCTCCAAAATCTCCATCGCAGCTTCAGTATATAATGCAGCCTCTTCTTTATCTTCAAAACCATTATCACTGTTCATAAGAATATCATTTTCACTCTCGAGCTCTTTCATCTCCATTACCATAACAAATACCCCCTTCATCACGTACCCTGAATCTGGCAACTTCAAAACAGGAATATAACAGTTACTCAAGAAATTAGGAACCTCTACATGATTCATCACAGCTTCCGAAGCAGAACGTACCCATTCTTTCACCTCACTGAGTTTTTCCCCATTCAGGGAAAGCCTCCCTCTTCTTTCTGAATCAGTAATGGATACCTCTTCTAACAATGGCAGATCCTTAACCAAGTACAACAGCATCATATGCCTTGCCGTCACATCCTTCAGACACTGAAACGAAATGTGACGTTTGTTGCGTTCTTCTTCATCATCCCCATTTCCATTAAGATAGAATTCATCCTTATAGAAAATTGAATTGGGGGACAGAAATATAACTGATTCGATTCTGTTACCAAACTTGACCTTCCACTTGAACAAACGGTTATCGACAATACTGTCACCGGAAGACAGAAGTTTGATACGTAAAAGCTTCACTCCTTCAAATTTGATCAAAAATCTATAGGCAGATAGAAAGGACTCACCGTAAAAAGAAGAAATGATCGGCGGAAATGGATTACTTCGGGCAACATCACCGATGGTGTTCTTATCGGAAGTCCTAGGGTTTAAGAGAGGAGAAAGGAAGGAAATTGCATCGACTTGAAGTACAATTGAGGAGAAACGTTTGGAAACCAGATAGCAAAAGCAAAGGGTTTTCAAATCGATTAATCTGTTTAATATTTGGAGGATGATTTCATCTGGTAAACGACTGATTTCATCTGATTGAAGACGAACCATTTGCATCACCTTCGACGGATTTCTCGAGATTCCTTGAGGAAAAAATTCGATGCTTTGCTCATTTTGGACATTGTAACCATAATCATACTCGTGTTGACTTTTTATAATGACTTCACCGATAAAAATTGAAAATTAATAGTAAATTACATAAATGGCCCATATGTTTGATCATAATTGCAGGCTTGTTACAATCTTTGAAAAGTTGACTCTTATGGTTTCAAAAAATTGCACAATTGGTCCCTTCATTTAACCCTGTTCAGATGCAAAATAGAAAGTAAAAACGGATGTGAAATCACAAATGCAATACTAGATGCATAATAGAATAAAAACACTTATTTATCTTTATTGCTCATTCCAAGTTTCCAAAATCAAATCATACATTGAATATGATATACACATCATCTTCATCTTCGTTCTAGGTTCATCAAATCCCAAAACACAAAATCAAATAAAAATAAGATAAAACCCACAAACAGAAAAGCAAAAATATGTTCAAGAAGCACAAACGGAAAGATAAAATAAATTAGGAAATCAGTTGTGGTTGAGTTTTTGGAAAGTACAAACCCATAACCATCACTTGCAAAAATCAAACCCACAATAATTTCATGCATTAATGGTTACAATTGCAATAGAGGACGACAATACATGCATACGATAACAAACAGATAGTGTCGCTACAATGGCAACTATAGTGATGACTAGAGGGTAGGTAGCTAGCAGCAGTGGACAGTGGTGGTTCCAGAGATTATTGTAACGACTAACTAGAGTCCATAGTGTAAAATTACTATTATCATAGGGGTCATTAATTGAAAATCAATTTTAATTATGAACTTTCATATATGTAAAAAAGCATGTTAAGTGGGGTGCACCCACCACACTAAAACCCCCTGTATCCATTATTGGCTAGCGGGTGGAGACAGTAGGGTGTGTAACCCAAGGTGCCTACTGAAAAATGGATGAGTGATGCTATGGTGAAATACTACGGTTTGTAATAGGGTTCTAAAGAAACCTAAACATAATATGTTTATTTACATATTTAGTTTGTATACTTTAACTGATTTTGTTTGTGGGTAAAATAGTTAATTCTGAATATTTAAGGTTCGATTTTCACAGTTGCAAAAAGGGATTAATGGTGTAATTTCTTGAAACCACATGGAAAATGAACTTTTGAAAAGTTAAACCACGTTTTTTTTTTTTTTTTTACCAAATCACATAACCATTTTTGTGATATGCTAAAAAATAAATTTAAATGGTTCAGCTAAATACTAAATAATTTGAAAGTAATAATAAAAAAGAGAGAATTTCATATATGCCCCTCTTAAACCTCAAAATATCATATTTGCCCAATTTAATTTCTTAATATCATATTTACCCTTCATAAACCTTCAAAATATCATCTTTGCTCAAATCCTTTTTATAACGTTTTTAATATTTTATAATCATTTTTTATAACTTAAAATTACTATAATAATTAAAAAAATTAACGATATTATCATTAGTTCTATGATAATGAAATGTGAACTTCTAAATTGTTGGAATGTCGTCTTCTTGACAAACAAAAATATTCATCTTCAACCTTCTCTATGGAATGTATATTTTGATTGTTTAGTTTTTTTTTTATTGATTATGTTGTAGATGAAGGATATTTTAGATATTACCATTGATATTTTGATGTTTAAAAAGTGCATATACGATATTTTGATATTTAAGAATGGTATATATGATATTATGATGTTTAAAAATGACATATATGATATTTTAAAATTTTATGAATGGTAAATATGATATTTAGAAATTTTATGAAGGATAAATATGATATTTAAAAATTAAGTTGGGTAAATATGATATTTTGGTGTTTAAGAAGGACATATATGAAATTCTCCCAATAAAAAAAGCATTTGATCATATTTTTTGAGCGAAAGGGTCGCTTCAATGACAAGTTGTTTGAAAAAGTCAATTAATTTGTATAATGAGTTTTGCATTGCAAGAAAAAATCCATATCTTTGACTGGTTAGATAATTAAAAAATACATTTGATCTATTTTTTATAAAGAAAAAGTCGTTGCATTTAGAAGTTGTTTTTGAAAGCCAAAATTAACATGTATAATGAGTGTTGCCGATTGTAATATGTGTCATGCCATTATTTTGATTATATAATGATAAAATTAGGGGGTTAGCATGCTTGGGTGGAGGTGTTCGATCTTTTTACTAAAATGCAATGTTAAATTTTGACGGTTTTACAAAGAACCAAAGTACTATGCTATATCTATATATGGTATAGCTGCTAGTTCTAAGGAAATGAAAATACACTCTTATATTTATGTACATTTTTAAAAATAATAGTATAATTCTATATTTAATGATAGTAAAAAAAAGTACAATGTTACATTTGAATGGATTTTCAAAAAAGATGAAAGACAATATTATATCTCGATGGTTTTAAAAAAGTGAAAGTAAATGCTATAATTAGGTAGATTTTAAGACAATAATAAGAAAATGCAATCTTATGTTCGCATCAAACATGTGATTTTGAATAAATATTGCCATTTTTCTTTATATACCATTGTATTTCTTTTCGGGTACTAAAGTTGTTCATTTTCAAATATACTTTTAGTTACATACATATCATTTCATGTTAGAAACACAACTATATTTATTTCTTCCGTTTATTACACTATCCAAGTAGAGAAGTTTTTTTAGTATAATGCTATAAATGGAGACTTTTTTAACCACTTTGAAGATAAAAGCCTCCTGGAAGTGTTTGATTATGAGTATCGAAAGAAAATGGGTTTTGAACTTGAGAGCAAGTGTGAAGAATTCATTTACTAGAATTGGCTTTGAGAATGCCTCTAACTCATGCATATATATGAAGAAAATGAGTTAAGGTGAGTTGATGTTTGCATTGAAATGTACAATTATCACATTGGGAAGGTGAATATTCAATCAAGTGACACCACTTCGCCACTGTTATGGTGATTTCGGCCATGCCATGACCGAAATCACCTTGATTTCGGTTTAGGTGTGGTCGCATGGCTTGAGTTTTCAGCCTAGACATGATCCAAGAAAGGGTGTTGAGTCCTAAGTGGTCCAAAGCTTGAGATTTCGGTGTACACATGTGATCTTGGTCCCTACAAAACCAAAAACCAATTGTTTCAAGATTCTAAATACCGAAATCTCATATGTAGTATATTAATTTAAGGTTTCAACTCAACCTTTTGACTTATATTGACTTAGATAAACTTAAATCAACATGGGTTTCAATATATATATATATATATATACATATATTTATATATATATATATATATATATATATATATATATATATATATATAAGCGTTCCCTCATGGCTATAGGTGACATAATGCAACAAAGCTACAATGTGGTTTTACTTATACATGGTATATCTTTTGACTTGGTTCGACTCCAAGTTTGCCAATTTTCACATGATCCCTCTGTTAGAAGGAATTTCGTCCCAAATTTTGAAATTTGAGTGGGACTGCAAGCGCTGGGGAAAAGATGTTGGTAATTCTGTTTCATTTGGTCTTCTTGTTCCCATGTGAATTTAGGTCCTCGTTTGTCACAACTAGAAATTTTGTGTCTTGTAATCACTATACTCAAGTAAATGTTGAATTCAAAAACTCAAAAGCACGTATGATGCTTACTCAATGGAAAACTAAACCCCAATTCACTACATCAAGCAATTGGAAACCCTAGAAGTTCTTGATTAGGTCCATTTTGGACTAGGACTTCCTTATTGGACCTAAATGGATCAATAAGCTTCCAATTTGACTATCATGGGCTTAGAACCCTTAAATGGGCTCTAATTGGACCCACATCTATTTATTTCAACATTTTGGGCTATATTGGGCCTAGAATGAAATAAATTCAAAATTTGGAACCATGATTAACCTAAACTAGCCCAACAAAGTGTAAAAATCATATTATATATTTTTTTAGGTTAAAACTCATCCAACTTAATATACACATGGGCTTGTGGGCATTAAAGCCCAAATTTTCCCTTTTTCCCTCCAAATTCTCGGCCCAAGGCCCAAGCCCAAGAAGAAATGAAGAGAGTTGACTTGTAATTGACACCTCATTATTGTCTTTTGGATCTCCATGCAACCCATTCCATGTATCCATGCATATCACTTCATGTCTATTTCTCCCTCTCTCTTCTTGTTTCGGCCGTGAGCAACACACACACACACAAACCTCTCACAAACTCTCTCTAGATCACTCAAGACTTCTCTCTTCCTTTCCATCTAAAATCTCGAAATTGGCTTGTGTTTCAAGAGGATTCTTCAAGATTATCATCATCCTTTGGTAAGTTTTTCCATGTCTAAGCTTCAAAACTTCCCCCTCACATGAGATCTCTTATTCTAAACAAGTTTCTTTGGTGATCATACTCCTAGAAAACTCCATAAACTCGAGATCTTCATCAAGGGGTGCTAGGGCCGAAAAATCACTTCATTTCTTCCATCCTTTCTTCAAAAACAGAATCAACACCCAAGGTGAGCTTCATACCCCCTTATTTTCGGTTTTTATAAGTTTTTGTGGGGGAGAATACAAGCAAAGGTGTAGATCCATCATTATGTGTATGTTTTGGTTGATTTCTATGCTTATATGTATGTTTTGTATGATTTTGATGCTAGATCTAGTTATGAATTGCTAAAAACCGAGATATATTTTATACTAGCATAAAATATACTACTACATGCAAAGTATACCAAGAAAAATAGCTAAATGGCTTGACAACACTTATTTTGGGCTAAAAACTCATCTTTTTGACATAAAATGTTAAAAATACAAAGTTGAAGGGCCTAAAATGAAATATTTCGAAATCTGATGGGTGAGATGAGTCAAAACAGTTTCCATAATGTATTTTCTGAAAATATACTATTTGGAGGATTAAAAACATAAATTTCAAGCTTAATGGGCTAAAAATGACAATTTCGGCCCAATAGGGCCCATTATGCGAAATTTTCTGTTTTGGAGGGCCAAAACTGTGTTTTTCTGTAAAACAATGGACTACTAGTGTTACAAGTACTTTTCAAAGGTTTAAAATGCTTTCCAAATTTAAAAAGGACCAAAGTTGCAAAAAATTTCCAATTTGGGCCAAAAAT